AAAAAAAAAAAGAAAGGATCAGAGGGGCCCCTAAGAGAACATGCCTGCTGGTTTCCCAGTACTACTGAAGCAGTCTCCCTTCTGAAACCGGTGTTAGGGTCACCAAAAGTTCCTGCAATAATGTATCTGTGCCCTTAGGGGGGAGGCATTCACCTTCTGTGTTTTCCTTTGTCCACTGGGGAAAGATATAAGCAAAGGTTTTCTGAAACAAAAGTGAGAGCCAGGTGATCTTACCTGATTTCTCACCAGAAGTTCCTACTCCAGCACCCTATAAAATAAAAATGGTTTAAAAAAATCAAAATCAAATGACTTCAGATTACTATAACTATAGATAAATGATAAATAAAAACAACAGAAACTTCTAAAAACACTAGGTTGATTTTTTTTTTCCAGTATATCTGAAACTGTCGAAATATACATGGATCAGCATACATGGACTAACTTCCCTAGGAGCCAAAGCACTTCCATTCAGGATGAGATGGAAGAAATGGAGATTAAGAAGCCAAAGGTTAGAAACCAAAACAATCCAAGACTGGCCAAGACTGACTTCCAATCTCTGAAGACTTTTAGAGTTTTACTAGACAGAGAACATGAGGACACGAACCTGATCACCTATCTCTATCTATCCATCAATAAGGACCCACTCTCAGTTGCCTATTTCATTACATAAGCTTTAATGTGGAACTTTCAGGTTTAACAAATTGAGGTGCCTTTTCTCCATCCCTCCCCCCCCCATTCACTCTCCTCCACCATGCAAAACCCAAATATCTGAATGAATGGAAAGAATAAAAATGCTAGTGAGATGACTTTTTAAAGCTTATCCATCCTCATGTTAACCTGGTTGAGTAGATTAGCACATAATAGACTTCTGATTTACCATTTCCCACACAGCACAAATAAAAAGTAGTGTGGAGAAAAATTCTATTGGGCAACTAAACTCAAATGAGAACTAAACTCAAATGAGAATGCTAGGTGTTATTGAACCCCCACCCCGAATTTTTGCTGTTATAGGAAGAACTATTCCAATGTAGATTCAGGTTTATAATTTACATACACTTACACTTTGTACCATGGAATAGGCCATCCTCCAGGTTCCTTGGGTCTTCCAAGATCTGTGCTCTATTTTGCGTTTCTGAGCATAGATTGATGTTTTCAGAATACAATGGCCCGCCTCTAGGAATGAACAAAAAGGATGCAATAAACAGCATGTTGAGGAATTTGTTAGGAATACACTGACAGAAGACTAGACATGATTTCTGATTGTTAGTAGTTTTTCATTTCATTGGTGAAGAAACAGAAGTATTGTTTTCTGTTGTTACTGTTATTGACTATCTTCTACACAGAGGTTCCAGTTGAAATCATATAGCAGCTTGGAGAAGGGACAGAGCTGTATGGGATGGAACAGGGAAAGCTTTATGGAAAAGATGAGATTAGAGCTAGCCCTGGAGGGATAAAGCTGACTTTTTTACATATTGTTGTTGTTGTTAAGTATTGTCGAGTCAGTTCTGACTCAGAGTGACCCTGCATAGGGTTTCCGAGGTGCAACTGGTGGGTTTGAACCACTGACTTTTTGGTTAGCAGTGCAGTACTTATACAGTGCCCCAAGTAAAAGAGGACAGTAATACAGAGTGGGGAGACTGAGCACAGTGTTGTAAGAACCGTGAGGATAACAGGCTCATGTGAGTGAAGACCACAGGAGGGTGTTTGAAGAAAGAGGAAACTGGATCTGTGTCTGTGAGGACTGTGAGTTTATGTGGAGCTGTAGGATAAGCACTGGACTGCAAGGACGGTTTGAACTACAAGGTCGGCGGTTCAAGCTCACTAGTCACTCTTCAGAAACCCTATACAGGGTCGCTGTGAGTTGGAACTGCCTCAATGGCACTTGGCAACAACAACAACCTTTATCTAATTAGAAAGGTGAATATCTGGTAAAAATCAGAAATGCCAGGAAAACATATATATTTGTGATTTTTCCATATAATAAAAACCTACTTCTATCAAGTTGATTTTTACTTAAAGTGACCCTATAGGACAACAATATAAATCTTTATGGGAGCAGATAGTCTCATCTTTCTTCCTTTCAGTGGCTGCTGGGTTTGAACTACTGAGCTTGTGGTTAGCAGCTCAACACTTAACCCACTGTGCCACAAGGGCATTGAGTAGCTTCTTACTCATAACCCCACTATCACTGAGTCAATCCTAACTCATAGTGACCTTGTATGGGATTTCCAAGGATGTAAATGTTTATGGGAGCAGAAAGCCTCATCTTTCTCCCATAGAGTATCTGGCGGGTTTGAACTGCCAAGAAGCATATAACTCTAAACATGTGATCTCTTCCATTTTAAAAGCAAAAATAACAACAAAACCCCAACTTTCCATCATCGGTTCCTTTATGATTTCCTTTTCTTCATGTTGTTGTTTAGTACGGTTGATGCACAATGACCCTGTATAGGATTTCCCAGGAGTGACTGGTAGGCTTGAATTGCTGACCTTGTGGTTGGGAGTTCAGTGCTTCTCCTACAGCACTACTCCAGGACTTCATAAGCAGTCAAATTTCTAGAGAGAGTAATTGATTCTTTTGTCCACTTGCCAACTCAGCCCACTATAGTCTGGCTCCTCAACCCTGCACTCCTCTTAAAGGACTCATCAGTGACCTCCACGTGGTTAACCCAAATGAACTATCTTGTATCCGAATCTTTATTTACTCTCTATCTATAATAATTCATTATCTAATTCCTGAACTCTATTTTCTTGGTTTCTGCTATGCCACCCTTCCTTGGCTCTCCTGTGACTTCTCACTTTGCATTTACAGACATATTTCCTGGCCTTGTTTCCACTGTTGAATGCTTTATCATTTCTATTCCCCAGGACTGTGTCTGATATGTACTTCTAATCTTATTCTATACAGTCTTCAGGTATGATCTAATCCACTACCATGGCTTCAATTCTCCAACTGTAAACACAACTCTCATCTCTACATCTCCAGGCTCTGGTTCTTCTGAGCCTGACATTTCAACTCCACCTGGATATAACAAAGACTGCACAAACTCAGCCTCTACAAAACTGAACCCCATGTCCCCTCATCTTCATTCCTCATACCCCACAATCGTATTCTATCTCCTGGATTTCGCACTTCAGCAAATAATACTAATGACCGAAAACCAGAAGAGTTTTGGGATGACATCAAGACCATCATACAGGAAGAAAGCAAAAGGTTATTAAGAAGACAAGAAAGCAGGAAAAGACCAAAATGGAAGTCAGAAGAGACTCTGAAATTTGTTCTCCAAGAGAGCTGTTAAAAGCAAATGTAAATAATGAGAAGTAAAAGAGATAAACAGCAATTTCAAAGGATAGCTCGAGAAGAGAAAGACAAAGTCAAATATTATAATGAAATGTGCAAAGACCTGAAGTTAGAAAACCAAAAGGAAAAAACACACCCACCATTTCTCAAGCTGAAAGAGTTGAGGGGAAAAATTTAAATCTCGACTTGCAATATTGAAGGATTCTATGGGCAAATATCAACAACGCAAAAAGCATCAAAGAAGATGGAAGGAATACATAAAGTTACTATACTAAAAAGAAACGGTCGATGTTCAACCATTTCAAGAGGTAGCATATGATCAAGAGCCAATGATACTGAAGGAAGTCCAGGGTACACTGGAGGCATTAGAAAGGAACAAGGCTCCTGGAATTGATGGAATACAACTTGATACCTTTCAAACAGATGCGGCACTCACTCATCTATGCCAAGAAATTTGGGCAACAGCTAGCTGGCCAATTGATTGGAAGAGATCCATATTTGTGCCCATCCCAAAGAAAGGTGACCCAATGGAATAAGCAAATCACTGGACAATATCATTAATATCACATGCAAGTAAAAGTTTGCTAAGGGTAACTCAAAAATGTCTGCAACAGTACCTTGACTTGGAATTGCCAGAGGCTCAATGAGGATTTAGATGAGGATTTGGAATGCTGATATCATTGCTGATATCAGATGGATCTTTGTTGAAAACAGAGAATATCAGCAAGATGTTTATCTGTGCTTTATTGATTATGCAAAGGCTTTCAACTGTTCAGATCATGAAAACCTATGGACAACATTGTGGAGAATGACTATTTCAGAACACTTAATTGTGCTCATGTGGAACCTGTCCATGGGTAAAGAGGCAGTCATTCAAACAGAACACTGCACTGAATGGCTTAAAATAAGGAAAGATGTGCACCAGGGTTGTGTTTTTTCACCATACTTATTCAATCTGTATACTATGCAAATAATGTGAGAAGTTGTATTAAAAAGAATGTGGTATCAGGATTGGAGGAAGGCTCATTAACAACCTGTGATGTGCAGATGATACAACCTTGCTAAATATTAATTGAAGAAGATCGAAGACCACAGCCTTCAGTATAGGTTGCACCTCAATGTAAAGAAAACAAAAATCCTCACCACTGGACCAATAAATAACATCATGTTAAATGGAGAAAAGATTGAAGTTGTTAAAGACTTCAGTTTGCTTGGACCCACCATCAACACTCATGGAAGCAGTAGTCAAGAAATCAAAGGACATATTACATTACGGTAATCTGCTGCACAAAATTCTTTAAAGTATTCAAGAGCAAAGAAATCCATTTGAGGACTAAGGTGCATGTGACTCAAAGTCACGGCATTTTCAATCGCCTCATATGCATGTGAAAGTTGGTCAATGAATAAAGAAGATAGTAAATGAATCAATGCATTTGAGTTATGATATTGGAGAAGAATATTAAAAGTACCATAGACAACCAGAAGAACAAACAAATCTGTGTTGGAAGAAGTGCAACCACAACACTCCTTAGAAGCCAGGATGGCCAGACTTTGTCTCTTATACTTCTGACATTATCTGGAGGGACCAATCCCTGGAGAGGAACATCATGCTTGGTAAAATCGAGGGTCAACGAGAAATAAGCAGACCCCCAATGAAATGGACTGGCACAATGGCAGCAGCCATGAGTTTGAGTGTAACAGTGATTTGAGTCTGGTGCATGATTGGGCCTTGTATCATTCTGTTGTAGGTAACGACAGCTCCTGACAATAACAACAAACAATACACCATTTACCTACTCAATTCAGATACTTAGGAATTGTCCCTGAATCTCTTCTTTTGGCCCCTATATAAGCGGCTTCAAAAAGTTCGTGGAAAAATGGAATTGAAAGACAACAGAATTTTTCCATGAACTTTTTGAGGTCCCCTTGTATAACTGATCATGGGGAACCTCACCACTTAAATCACTTTCAAATATGCCCTTGCCTGCTTGCTCATGGGCACTAAGTCATTCCTGAGCACCTCATGTCTAGGTTATGGCAGTAGATTCTTTTTAAAGATATAAATTCATCCAATTTTATATTTTATTAGTACATTTAGATGATCCAAATTTAGAAGGCAGAAAGTCTCCCTCCAGCCCTACTCCCAGCCCCTTACTAAATTTCCCTCCCACTTTCTTCTGCATCCTTTCAAAAGTTTTATTTATTTTTTACAAAAGGTAACATTTTTACCTTTTCTCTTACGCATCTTCTTTTACCTATTAAATGCATTCTAGAGATCTTTCTATATTAACACAGGGAGAGTGTCCTCATTCTTTACACTGTTCATGGTATTCCATTGTATTAGATACACTAAACCAAAAAACCAATCTACCTTTGAATCAATTCCAACTCATAGAGACCCTATATAGGATTTTTGAAACTATAAATCTTTATGGGAGCAGAAAGTCTCATCTTTCTTCCTCAGAATGGCTGGTTGTCTTGAGCCACTGACCTTGTGGTTAGCAGTCCAGTGTGTATCCTACAGAACCCCACCAGGGCTCAATAATTCTGATGTTGTTGTCATCCAGCGCCGTCAACTCATAGCAACTCTGTATAGGGTTTCCAATATCTATACTGGAGTGACTGGTCGGTTTGAACCACCAATCTTTCGATTAGCAGTTCAGCCCACAGCAAATTGCCCTCCTTAAAGATGGATTAATTTCCAGTATTACATTATTATGCAAAATCCTTATCTCTTGCCCCTCTACCTTCATATCTCCTTGGAAATCTGTCCTCTACATTTTTGTCAGCACCATCTTGCTAAAGTGCAAATCTGGCATATTACTGTCCTGCTTTCTCTACTGACTACCTTTCAATTCCTCTCCTGTATCCAATCTACAAGACTTTTCACCATTTGGACCCGTCCAATGAGATGGACTGGCCAAGTGGCAGCATTGATGGACTCAAGCGTGGCAAGAGTAGTGAGGATGGCCCAGGATCGGACAGGGTTTCCTTCTGCTGTGTGTAAGGTCACCATGGGTTGGTACCGACTTGATGGCACCTAACAACAATAACAATCCACTAAGCACATGTTGCTTTGAGCATTGGAATGTGACTGGTCCAAACTGAAATGTAACACTGCACATGGTGGCTCCTTATGATAAGCACTGACTGCAAGCCACAAGATTGGTAGTTCAAGCCCGCTAGCAGCTCAGAGGGAGAAAGAGAAGGCTTTCTGCTCCCACGTAAACTTAAAGCCTCAGAAACCCTATACAGGATTGCTATGAGTTGGAATCAACTTGATGGCTCATAACAACAAAATAACATTATGACAATATTGTTGTTGTTATGTGCCATGAAGTCTGTTCTGTGCAGGGTTTCCGAGGCAGTAAATCTTTACGGGAGCAGGAAGCCTCATCTTTCTCCAGGGGAACAGCTGGTAGTTTCGAACTGCTGACCCTGAGGTTCTCAGCCCGATTCGTTACTACTACGCTACCAGGAAAGTAAAAATTTTATCAATAAATCTTTAACATTGGTTGTTGTTGGTGGTGGTTATGTGCTGTGGAGTCGGTTCCGACTCATAGCGACCCTGTACAGACTTTCTGAGACTGTAAATCTTTATGGAGCAGAAAGCCTTTTCTCCTGCCGAACAGCTGGTAGTTTCTAACTGCTGACCTTAAGGTTTGTAGCCCAATTTGTAACCACTACTCTACCAGAGTTCTAACATTGGTTACATGCTGAAGTTAACTAAATTATTTTCAACTGTTTCTTTATACTTTTTAAAATATGAGGGGGCTTCAAAAAGTTTGTGGAAAGTTTCTTTGTCTCGTAATTCCATTTTTCCATGAACTTTTGAAGTCCCTTGAATAGCTAGTTAACGATTTTACATTACTTATATGGTAGGCATTTGCGGCTCTCTGTATTTTATTGGGCATGACTCACCTAGCTCCCCCCCCTCCCCCCAATTCCCATCTCATCTCTTCCTTAGGGCTCCATCTGCACCTCATACCACAATGGTCTCTGCCTCAGATGCCTCCTGTCTGTCCCACACCCCACCATTGATACTATCATTAAGGTTCTGCTTGAAACTTCCTCTTGGAGGTCTGTAAGAGATTTTAGTTATTTATTCAAAGGTCTGCCTTCCTTTAAAGGCCCTTGAGGCTGAAGCCTCCTCTCTCATCTTTATCCCTAGTGCACACAGAAACAAGCAGTTCAGCACTGTTGGACAAACCAGAAAACTCACTGTTATGGTGTGGATTCTGACTCAGAGGACCCTATAGGACAGAGTAGAACTGTTTCATAGGGTTTCAAGGCTGTAAATCTTTATGGAATAGATGTCATATCTTTTCCCTTGAGCGACTAGTGGATTTGAACAGGCGACCTTCTTTCTGGTCAGGAGTCCAGCGCTTAACCCAATGTGCCACCATGCCCCTTTATATGAGTAAACAAGGGTACAGAAGTCCCAACAGCCAATTTAAATAATAAAGTTAGGGGCGGTTGCAGGTCATAAAAGCAGGTGAACACATTTTAAAAACGTTTTTCTTTAAAACCTGAGTTCAGAATTGCAGCTGCAAATTATAGTAACAAAAACAACTTTGCGTTTTAAAACTTCACAGACACGGGATGGGGGTGGGGGTGGGGAGGAGGACTTACTGTCTTCGACTTGGGCATCTGTCCAGTTTACATCCTGGCCTGGGGAGCCTGCCCTGGGACCCTGGTTGTCGCCCGTACCCCCCCCACCACCACCACCTGGGCCCGCAGGACAGAGAACCCGAGAGTCACAGGAAGACTCCTTCCAGTACCTACCTACTCGGCCAGCGTCGGGACGGTCACAGCGGTAACAACTGACAGAGAAGGAAGAGGCGGCTGTGCGGGGAACAGGGAGGGGTCTCCAAGGAAAACGAAACTGAAACTTTGAGGCCCTAGTCTGCTGGGCGGAACGTGCCTTCGTTTTAGTTCGGCCCCACTTGTGTCCGGAACCCTGCGCAGCTCCACCACAGAGCCATGGCCTCGGCGCCCACCCCGCCGTCCCCGCTGCTTGTGCGGGTGTCTGAGCCCCGGCCCCGGATGAGCAGAAAGTTGGAGAGCTACTTCCAGAAACGGTGCTCGGGTGGCGGGGAGTGCACGGTGCGGGCCCTGGACGAGAACGTCTTCCGGGTAGAGTTCCGAGAACGGGCAGGTGAGCTGTGGACAGCAGGGGTACGGGCCCGGTTTGTGGAGCAAAGGCCGGCGTGGGGCCAGCCCCGCGGGTTTCCAGGCAGGATTAGTTCAAGTTGACCAAGGAGATAGGGCGGAAGAAAGTATGGCACTGTCTGTGAGGGACACGAATTCGAGCTTCCAAGACACAATTCAACAGCCTAAGAGAGAGTCCAGATGTGTCCAGTCGAGGATCTGGTTTGAAAACGCCATAAAGGTTATGCTTGCCAAAATCCTCATCCTGACTCATCTTATTTTTCTCAGCTTTCGTAAGAATCCACTTTCCACCTCACTTCCTAGCTAACTTAAACGTGGAATGTACACTGAATTGCAAAGGCTTAGTATGACATAAAGTAAAATTTTCATTAGTAAGTTTTAAAATTAATACTAATTAACAATAATCTTAAATAATGATTTTATTGATATAATTTTGAGGATTACAAAGTCAGTGCATGTATCTGCCCACTATAGAAGAGCAAGGAATAAGAAAACCAAATCTACTTTTTAATCCCAACACTGCACTTTTCTATAAATGTGTGCAAACACATATATATTTACAAAATTCTGAATCTACTGTTTTGATCCCTGGTTGTTTTTTTCCCCTCTCACTTCACTTAATAAATGAGTATTTTTCCATCATTGAAGTGGGCGCTGAATGTTGGAACATGTAAGCTTCCTTCCCTGAGTTCTGGGGAAGAGACTTGTTATGTGCCTTGGAGTCGATTCCGACTCATAGCGACCCTGTCTGTACAGGGGTTCCGAGGCTGTAAATCTTTTTTGGGAGCAGAAAGCCTCATCTGTCTCTCACAGAGCTGCTGGTAGTTTCGAACTGCTGACCTTGAGATTCGTAGCCCGATTCGTACTACGCTACAGGCTATTAGGCTGGCTGAAGAGTTTATGCTCAGATAGCCACAAGATTTCCCGGCAGCCTCTGCATTCCCTGGACCTTTGTGGTCTGTCATGAAGAGCCAGCTCCAGCATTAGAGGCTTGCTTGGTTTGTGTCCCAGGAAGGAGCTGATAGGTGAATCTGAGTGCTCCTGTAGGTGGCATGAATTATTGTTTCTTTTTAAGGTCAACTTTTTATTGTTACCAGAGACTTTTATCATCAGTACATGGTTCTGACCACAATACCTTCTTTAGACTGCACAGAGAGCTCAGGATCCCTAAGTCATGAAGAGAAATATAGGTAGACTGGGTAGCAGGGGGATTCATTTTTATCAAGAAAATCCTAACACCATAAACTTGAGCACTGAATTCAGTTAACATGTTACAGACACAAATCAAACAACTGTCCAACTTCCAGACAGTCTTTCCTATTGATTAGAAATGGATGAAAATTCTAGTCAGTTATAAAATCTAATTTTAGTTTACATACATGTTTCTTTGGTGAGCACCTGGATATATTAACTTTATCACAAATTATTTTATACAAATGTCAAAAATGCTTTCTTTCAACAAATCTAAGCATGTTCTCCTTACATGTCACTTACAAATTTCACTTTAAGACAAAAATAAAAGCAATAATTTGGTTCTAGACTGTAGATGTTGAAATGAGATAAACGTTAAAAAAACCAACATGGTAATGTGAGTCTTTTTCCATTACAACCTGATTCATATGGGGCAATTTCAAAGTAGCTCTTCATACTAACTTGGAATTGAATTGTGGATTAAATGCTAACAGTCATATAATCAATTTTTTCACTAACTTGCTAAAAATAATAATGTAGGGGTTCCCTATTTAGTGAAGGCTAGGGTACAGATCAACATGCATGAAATTCATTAAGTTTTCAATGAAGAAGAAAGCAAAAGAAGAAAATTCAATCAGGATGCTGAGAATATGGTTTGCTAGTTATGAATTTTGAAACTTTAAAAAATGTTAACTGAATTTTTAATATGGTGTAAGCAGCATCACATTTTAGCAGTGGAAATAGTGGAAATGACAAATACTATAAATAAAATGCACACTTATTAAATTTTAGATCTTTGTAAAATTTCTAGACTTTTTTTTTTTTTTTCGGTCCTTTTAAGTATTTACATAATGTTGAATTATCAGCCACACAGTAAACAAAGAGTTTTGCTTTTTTGCTTTTCTGGCTCACTTCAACTCAGCCTGAGTTAAGGTATATATCAAGGTAATGTCCCTTCCTGGTTTTATGTGTTTCTATTCCCAAAGTAGTCAACCTTAGCTTTGCATTTGAAGGTAACACTTGCTGAAACTACATGACAGAAATGGGCTGCAAAGGAGGACAAGGCGAAGCATGTCCCTCTTGCCTTGATAGATCGATCAGTGTTGCACACAGAACCCACATTTATAGAGCTATTTGATCCCATCATAGTTCAGGTTCTGAAATATGACTTTTAATGAGTTGATGGAATTCCAGTATTGTTAAGCTTTGATTTCTACCGTAAGTAATCTGCCCACTTAAGATTTCTCAAGATCATCTCCCAAACTCTCTTTCACCAGCCTTCCATACCAGAATGCAGGGGGCAGGGTCCTGAGGCATGAAGAAGAGTACTTGAAATCTCTCCCATTTCTCAATCATGCTGTGTCTGTGTGTGTTTAATGTCTCCACTAAAGCTAAGGAGCGAGTGTTGAAACAAGGACAGCATCAACTGTTTGTTGAAGGCAACTGTGTGAGCATTTTCCTAGAATCCACTGAAAATCCAGTAGAGAATACAAATCAGAGAATACCCCTGTTGATACCATCAGGATCAGGGGCATTGGCCAATGGGAAGCATCCTGATGAAGAACTTTTTTCTAACACTGTGGATTCCTGTGTGCCAGAGGTGAGTGTTGAAAAGGCCTGGGCATGTTCCTACAACTTCCTCTCCAGACTACATCTCGTTATTCTTCCAACAACGATTTGCTGAGGGTCGCTATGAACCAGGCACTGTTGTAGGCTTGGAGCCTGGGAGGTTGAACACAACAGTTGAGGTCCCTGCTCTCATGCAGCTTGAATTGGAGCTAGCGGACGACTTAGAAAGACAATAAGAAAAATAAATAAAAACATTTTCAGAAAGTGATATGTACTAAGAAGAAAATAAAATTGGGTTTAGCCTTAGTGACAGAGCCAGTGTGAGGAACAGAAGATAGAGATGATGTTAACTTCTGATGAGAAGTTAGAGACAATTTCATTGATGAAGTGACATTTCTCCTGAGACTTGAATGATAAGGAGCCAGCCATGCAAAGATTCATACAACAAATAAGTACTGAATGTCTCCTGTGTGCCAGGCGCTATCAAGGAGCTGGGGATGTAGCCTTGACCTTGGCAGGCCCTGCCCTCGGGGAAATTAGTCTACTGAGGAAGTGACTGTGATAGAAAATAAATTGACACATAGTAAAAAGTCTGAAAGTGTGCTACCATGAAAAAACAAAGCAGAGTGATAGCTGCCATTTTAAGAAAAGCCTCTGTAATGAGGTGGCATCAGTAGAGGTGTGAGTGACTGAGGGAGCTTGTTAAGTGAATTTCTGGAGGATTAACGTTCTGGGCAGAGAGAATCTCAAATGAAAAGGCGCTGAGACAGGAGCTGCATCCTAAATGACATGAACTTCAAGGGGGCCAGTGTGGTGGAGGACTGTGAGGACAGGAGAGTGATAGGAGAGGCGTTGGGAGAGGCACGTGGGTACTGAGTCTTAAGGGGATGAAGGCCGTGGTCAGTATTTTGGATTTTATTTTAAATGTGGAGGGATTCATCAGCTGGTTTTAAGCCAGGTGAGTGGGGTGATCTGATTTACATTTTAAAGAATCATTCTGGCTACTGTGTGAAGAACAGAAGGTAGGAAAGGGCTAGAGGGCTACAGCAGAAGCAAAGAGATCATGTAGGAGAGATTGCAGCTGGTCAATGAAAGATAATAATGGTGTGGACCAGGGTTGTCCGGATGGAAGTATGAGGCGTGGCTGGATTCAGGAAACATGTTGGAAGAAAGATGCTACTTACATTTGAAGAAATAACATGTGGTGGAAAAAAATTCCACATTTTACTTTTATATTAAATTCAATGTGCCTCAGCCCATTCTGTCCTAATCTGGTATACCTGTTTTATATTGAAGGCCAGGGTTTATAGTACTCAGCAACATTGCATGCATATCTAGTTAAAAAAACAAGTAAATGGGTCAAGGACACAGGAAAGGGAGATGGTGAAGAAGAGAAAAAATAAAAAATAAAAACAGTACTAGGAAAAAACATCTTGTATCAGATTATGGCTCTATTTCAGACTCACAGACTTTTTTGAAGAACCATAGAAACACATCCAAAGAGCTGAAGTGTCTTCCTCTACCCCATTCACTAACGGCACTATTTAAAAATACTCATGTCCGGGTTCCATTGCAGGCCAGTTACATCAAAATCTCTGGGGATGAGACATAGGTCTTGGCATTATTTCTAAAGTCCTCAGATGATTTTACTGTGCAGAAACTCTGAACTGTATCGTGGTACACTCTGCAAAAAGTTGCTAGAAGTTACCCCCATTCAGGGTGGGCATTGTGGTTATTTCCGTAGATCTCTAGGCATTTTTCTAAAGAGAAGACTGTAGACTTGGATGGCTGAGAGATTTTATTTGTACCTTTTTAAATTACAGATCTTTCTTGCTGTAACAGCTGACCTGAACTGTAATCTGTTTTCCAAAGAGCTGAGGGAACATATAACCACTCTCTGCCCCAATGTCAAAAAAATGGAAGGTCTTAATGGAATTGAGAAGGTGTGTGGTGACTTCAGAGATATTGATAAAATTTATAAGTTCTTGAGTGAGCAACTGCTGGAGAGTGACCAGATCTATGAATCTTCCCCTTTAACAACAGAGAAGGAACCCTGCAGTCAGCAGGACAGGAACAGCCACATTTCTCCTGAACCACAAACCAGGAAAGAAGCAAAAAGTGACCCCTTTGAAGTTTCCTTGCCTTTCTTTGAATACTTCAATTATACTTGCCCTGGTACAATTAATTTGATAGAGAAAAAATTTGGCATAAATATCATCGTTCAGCCAAGTTCTCCAAATATGATCTCTTTAGACTTCACTTCAAATCAATCAGAAGACCTAGAAGCTGCTCGTGAGTGTTTTGCCTGTGAATTCCAGAAGAACACGGCATCTCTGAAGCAGGAGAATGTCTATTTAACAGAAATTCAGTGGGCAGATGAAATCAAACAGGAATTAAGCCACCAGTTTAAAAAGCTCCTTATAAAAGGACAAGGAAGAGAATTGATTCTCCTAGGTCCCCAAGATGATATTTTGGCTGCCAAACATTTTATCTCCAAAATCTCTGTAAGTCCTGCTATGATCCCTGTGAAAATATCAGCTCCCAATGGCATGAAGACTGGACTTGAGGTTGATACTGCTCACTATAAGCTTTTAGAAGCTGAATTACTACAGGAGATATCAGCGATAGACAAAAAGTACAACACTTGCAGCAGGACTTTTAGCAAAACAAAGGACGCTCAGAAAACCTGTATTTTGTTTGAATCCAAGGACAAGGACATCGATCTGTCTGTGCATGCGTATGCAAATTTCATCGATGCCTATCAACATGTCTCATGTCAACTGATGAAAGAAGTTCTTTCACGGAAAGCCTTGGGCCAGGGACAAAAACGCTTACATGGGACTAAGGTCACTGATGACTTTGAAAAAAAGCATCCAGGTATACACTTGTCATTAACTCAAGAGTCAGTAGCTCTAACTGGTTTGCCAAAGCACCTCTCAAAGGCAAAGCAGTATTTCTTAAAGAGAGAGAAATCGAATGAACACCATGAGACACCTATTGATAGTAATGATTCAAAAACAGCCTCACTTCCATTCAAGGAATCTGCCAGTTCTGCTGCCTCAGGAGTGGATCAGGAGGACAAGGACACATGTCCCATCTGTATGGACACCATTACTGAGAAGAAAGTGCTTCCAAATTGCAAGCATGAATTCTGTGCCGTTTGTATCAAAAAAGCCATGTCAATGAAGCCAGTCTGTCCAGTGTGCCTGACCTTCTATGGTGTCCAGAAAGGGAATCAGCCAGATGGAGTCATGGATGTTTATCAGATACCATCATGTCTTCCAGGTTTTCAATCCTGTGGCACCATTGTGATTAAATATACAATGAAAGGAGGCTTTCAAACAGTAAGTACTTGTGAATTCCATGGCTTTCTATCCACTATGCTAGGATTACCAGAGCAAAAGAGACTGAACTTTTGCCTATTTAGAAAATGTTTCCCAGGGAATTACTTCTAAGACCACATATAAGGGCTTGAAAGAGTGATAAAGGTTGTAATTGGCTGTTTATAAGTCAGGTCTCTGTTTTGCCTATTGGTTAAGGCAGAGAAACAGTGAATGCTTTTGAATTAGGGAGGGGGTGTACAGCATGAATCTGGGAAAAGATAGAAATAGGAATTATTGGGAATATGAGTAACCTTCAATACTTTTACATTTTCTCTATCTGCAAGTGACACATTCTAAAAAACTGTTATCATGTGCAACTTTCATATCTTTATACAGAAAGATCACCCAAATCCAGGAAAAAAATATATAGGAGTACATCGTACGGCATACTTGCCTGATAATGAGGAAGGAAACAAGGTTTTGAAACTGCTTCGTAAAGCCTTTGAGCAAAAACTGATCTTCACAGTGGGACAGTCTCGAACAACAGGAGCCTCAGATGTCATTACATGGAATGATATTCACCACAAAACGTCGGTGACAGGGGGACCTCAATGGTAACAGCATCCTGAAATATATTGGTTTAGTAGAGCCCTGGTGGCACAGTGGTTAAAACATTCCATTGTCAACCAAAAAGAAAGCAGTTTGAACCCACCGGCTGCTCCACTGGAGAAAGATATGGCCGTCTGCTTCTGTAAAGATTGTTGTTAAATTGTTAAGTGCTGTGGAGTCAGTTTTGACTCATAGCAACACTATATAGGGTTTCCAAGGAGTGGCTGGTGTGTTTGAACCACCAACTTTGTGGTTAGCCATCCAATACTGATCCTACAGTGCCACACTAGGACTCTTATAAAAATTGATGATGTTAAGTGCCATCGAGTCGGTTCTAACCCATACCGACCCTGTATAGGGTTTCTGAGGAGCAGCTGGTGTGTTTGAACTGTTGACTTTATAATTAGCAGTTCAGCTTTGAAAATCCTATAGGGCAGTTTTATTCTGTCCTATAGATTTGTCAAGGATCTCTGGTTGCGTAGTGGTTACGAATTGGGCTGCTAATCTCACGGTCAGAAGTTTGAAATTACCAGCTGTTCCTCAGGAGAAAGATGAGGCTTTCTGTTCCCGTAAAGATTTACAGCCTCAGAAACCCTGTACAGGGTTGCTATGAGTCAGAACCGACTCCACAGCACAGAGCAACAACATAAGATTGTTATGAGTCTACAGTAATAGATTTTGGTTAAAACAGAATTTTGAGATTGTAAAATATGGCAATTTAAGGATGTGGATATAAGAGCTTTTATGAGGGTAAATAAAAAAGTATTTCTACTAGGGTTCGAATTCATACATGTACAGGTTTATTCCAAACAAAATATGTTTAAACATGTCTGTGTTACCAGTGGATGGTTGTAGACAGTTTTCTCAGTAACATACCTGTCTTAATCTCATTAGGGGACCCTTGAATACAAGGGTCCAATCAAAACAGTGGTTTCTGAGGGGCCCTGCAAGACCAGTCCAATTCAAGGCAAAGAGGTCAGCTCAGAAGGTCATGGCAACTACTTTTGGGGATTCCAAAGTGGTAATTGTGATAGATTTTCTTGAAGAACACATGATGATCATTGAGGCTTATTAGGAAGATGTTTAAAGAAAACTGAAAACTGCATTGGCAAGAAAAAGGCCAGCAAAGTTGGCTGAGGAATTTTTTCCCATCACAACAATACACCTGCTCATTCTTCAAGTATAGCAAAGACTTCCTAGGAGAGTTTTGTTGGAACACCTCACCCCATCCACCTTACATTTCCAGTCTTGTCTCTTCAGGTTTTTTTTTGTTCTCTAAACTCAAAGACCATTTAAAAGGAATGATTTGAGTCACATGAGGATGCCAAAACTGGTTTAAATCTAAGAGCACAGAATTCTTCACGGAAGGGTTGTTGCTGTTGATAAGTGCCATCAAGTTGATTCCCACCCATAGAGACCCTGTACAGGGTTTCCAAGGAGCGGCTGGTGAGCTTGAACCCCCGACCTTGTGGTTCAAACTGATTTTGCTGTCCAGCACACTTGGAGACATGAAAATGTATAGATTTAAATAGAAGATACATCTAGAAACAACTTCGTATATTGATATTTTTGTTTCATAAAGCTTTCTATGATTTTTCAGTAATACTTTTTGATTTGCCCTCTTGTGTTTATAGCAGGGAGTTCTGGTGTGGCACTGTAGAATAAGCGCTGGACTGTTAACCACAAGGTCGGCAGTTCAAACCTACCAGCAATTCCTCGGAAATCCTAGATAGGTTTGCTATGAGTCGGAACTAACTCGACAGCACTTACAGCAACAACAACATTTGTATTAGAGGATTGGGTATACTGAAGTATTTTAAGAGATTCTAATCTGGAATGATCGTCTCAAAGGTCCCTCCCTTACTGCTCTCCTGCCAACCACAAAGTATCATATAGTCATTAAATTTTACATCAAAGGACAGGGGGCTTCAGAGTCCAAGATGAATAGTATCTTGTTGTTGTGTTGTTGTTAGGTGTTGTCTAGTCAGTTCTGACTCACAGCAACCCTGTAAAAGGCCTCCGAGGCTGTAAATGGGAGCAGAAAGCTTCATCTTTTTCCCATGAAGTGAGTGGTGGACTTGAACCATGGACCTTGTGGTTAGCAGTCCAGTACTTATCCTACAGCGCCACTGGCATTCCCAAATGGTATCTATGTTGATTTAATTTGGGGTTCCATGCTTATTTGAAGGGTGGGCCACAGGAATAGGAGTCCTGGTGGTGCAGTGGTTAAGTGCTTGCCTGCTAACCAAAAGGTTGGTGGTGCAAACCCACCAGTCACTCTATGGGAGAAATATTGATGGTCTGCTTCTGCAAAGATTAGCCTTGCAAACCTTTGGGGTAGCTCTACTCTGTTTATAGGATTGCTATAAATAAACTCAATAGAATGAGTATAGATCATAGAAATGTTATTTACTTTGCTTTTTTGAAAGATCGCTTGTTCTTAGAAGAGGGTAGACCCTCACCCACTATTAGTACATCGAGGACCCAAACTCACATGACTTGTAGTACTCTAGGAAAAACTCTTAGCTTTAAGAGGACTAAGGTCATGGGATCTGTGTTACATGCAATCCAGTTGTTCTTTATGAAACTTACATAGGAAGACATCAGACCCCGGGTGTTCAAATAAAATATAGTCTGAGACTTTTGCATTTTGCGAGTTCACAAATTTGAAAATCCTACTATAGAATATGACTATTATTAATTGCTGTTGAGTTGTCTCTGACACATGGCAGTCTTATATGTAACAGAAAGAAATGCCCATAAAATGTATACAAAGAATAATTAAAGGCAAGTCAGTGCTTACCATGTACCAAAAAGAAAGTAAAAGTCTTGTTGGAAGCTGATGCAGGCCAGACAACTAATCTCATTCACTAGCTATAGGATGCAGATCTGCACAATTATAGTCATTGTGAGTCACCTGCCTTCAAGTTAAATTCTCAAATAACAAGGCTCTACTGTACACATTTTTAAGAATCATTTGTGATGAAGCTAAAGGAATTTCCCTCTTGCAGTTATGGCTACCCTGATCCTGCTTACCTGAACCGTGTCCAAGAGGAGCTGAAAGCTAAAGGAATTGTGGATATATAATATGAAGATGTCTCAACCAACTTTGAGGAGGAAGAGTAAATACCAATCTAAATCATTAACTACAAGCAACTATATATATCTCAAGAAGTAGTTTGTGTAAGAATAAGAAGCTACTAGTCTGTCATTTTAGGAGTATTACTTCTTTTGGAAACTAAAGTCCCAAAGATCTACATAATTTTGCTGCAGAAGTGTCAGGCTTCATTCTTATGTCAGACCTGGGAGTGGGAAGCTTGTTGAGGTGGGTCGGAAGTCATCGTCTGTACTCTTCAATCAGCCCTCTTTCATCTCTGGAGTGGTCCTTTAAGGTTTTGTTTGTTTTATTTTTAATCTCCACCTTTGAAAATGAAATCCTGCCAGCTGTTCCACGGAAGAAAGATGAGGCTTTCTGCTCCCGTAAGGATTTACAGCCTCGGAAACCCTGTACAGGGTCACTATGAGTCAGAACCAACTCCATGGCACATAACTACAATCACCAGTATGAAAGGATTCAACAAAAAGGCTTTGGTTATGGACAATTAGAGACCCATGTCCCTTTCCTCCCCCGTGGCCAGAAAGTGGAACCAAGATTGGACAGCCTTTGGTAATAAATAGAATAAGGCTATTACTTTTAATGATGCAGACGCTGGTATACAGTTAAAGATTAATAGTTTTTTGTTGCAGACTCAGTTTGCTAATAGCCCTGCAGAGGGGTATGTGTTCTGCAAATCTTTAGCAAAGTGAGAAATGAGAAAGCCATTTCTGGTATTCTTAACAACTGAGTTGGAAAATTGTTGGTGTTTCAACTTTGGTCAAGCCCTTAACTTGATTCTTGCTTCCTCCTGATCCCAGTAAGCTGCCAGATGGAGTGCACTTACTCTGCCATAGTGATGCATTTCATTTCTCAAAGTTTTTCCTTCTCGGTATTATTGCAATAGTTGTGTTGTCCTCATTTCCAGTCTTAACAGATAAATACCCTGATTTTAGTTCCCAGAGCCATGATTTTCACAGTAACTGCAGCCCTCATTGTAGCTTTTCTCCTTTTACTTTACTTCTCTTTTTCTTCCCTGTCAAGTTGTATTTCCCCGTTAAAATCTTTTGTCCTGATTTTCTGGACAGAGAAAAGACAGAAAGTTGAGCTTACTGCAAGGAATATATGACAAGTTAAATTTTTATTTTATATGGTCTCTAACCCAGAAAAGAGTTGGAGTGGCAACTTATCTGATTTTCCATATTTGTCTCCCTCCAGAAATGGTGAACAAGGTACCGTGTTCTTTTCCAAAGATACTCATAGAAGTGGTTTGGTCTTCTAGATGAACATTTGCTCTGTCCCCTTAATAAGAGCTATAGCTGTGTGATCTTCAGAAAAGGTATTCTCATGTTCTAGATGGAAAGTTAATGCACTGAAGAGAGGTAGTAACTCATAAAGTTCACTTAGCTAATCAGTGGAAGGGCTGGCATGTAAATGAGGTAGCCTGGGTGTAGAACTATACTGCGTCTTACAGAGTACTTCTCTGAGGAGCAGCTTACAGAGTTCCCATTACTGCACAATACTTAAAGCAAATTTCCTCCAAGGAAGTCCTGTTTGAAGAACTGAATACCTAGAATCTTTTCCTCTCTCCAGAGATTTGAGGAATCTAAAGGTGGATGAGACATGATTTTAAAAATCTGATTATACATCTATTGTAGTTTTCACATATTTACCCATGCACACACATACAAATGCACAATATTCATAGTAAGCTAATTCATAAGGGCTAAGGGCATTGCTTGGTTTGAAAAAAAAAAAAAAAACAACCCTACAAAAAAAGCCTGTATAAAATGCATGTTAATTATGTAATAATGTGGTACATATTGGTATTCATTAAATTCTTTGCACTAACAATCAATAGATTTTTTTTTTTAAAGAATACTGATCTTTTAGCCAAATTTACTCAAAAAGTGGAACTGTTTAACTTCTGCTGTTTTGGATCCCTGATTGCATATGTGTGTGCATATGCAGATGTTTGTGGTGTTCTTGGTTGATAGACATTTGGATTACTGCTTTTGCTCTTTGGAAGGTGGTATCATCTGCATCTACTCTCAATAAAATGAAAAACATATTAGGAATGGATTGTCTGTGTTCTTTTTTCACTTGTTCTGCCCCCTTTGGTTGAGATTTTGAGCATTTCCTACAACAAATTGAAGCTATACCATGTGTATGGACGTTTTTAGCTGAATTTGTACACACTGTAGCTGTTTGAAAAGTAGTATCACAGTACAACTTAATTGCTATAGATCTCACAGCTGCCGCTTTCAGCTCTGAAAATTATATTTCTCAATACTATTTTCTTCTTAAAGCAAAGATAAAAATAACCTTCAGGTTTTAGTTCTACAAACAGAGACACATAAAATACCCAACCAAACTGTAGGTGCCATTCCTCACTCATAGAGTTTCTGTCCCACCTCTCTGGACATCACTCTCCCCATCCCCTTCTTCCTGCCCCTGAAAACTACTTCTGTTAAAACAGTTTTGATCTCATCACTCTTCCAGCTTCCTGATACCTAAAGCAGTGTTTCTCAAACTTCATCTTACTCTACACTCATCCAGAGGGTTCACTAAAGCCCAGATTGCTGCTCTCCTTGCCCAGAGTGTCTGACTTCCTAGGTGTGAGGTTGGGCCCAAGCATTTGTAGCTGATGTTGTCTGAGTACCTAATTTTGAGAACCACTTGCTTAAAAAATAATGTTCAAACTCTACAGCATGACCGTCAAGTATTTCCAATTCTACTTTGCTTTGCTTGCCCCCCTACTTCCCCACCAACCCCTCACGTCCAAAGCCCAGTCTATACTTTTGCTTTTCTGGTCTTTGCTCTGGGTGTTCTCTCTCTCTGGAATACCCTTCACTATATTTTCTTTCTTCTCTCAAACTTTGCTCCAAGTGGAATACGGGACCCTATCCAGAGAAGCAACAACACCAGAGATAGAGGCAGATAAGGGGACATGGAGGGAGGGAGCAGCTGAGGACTTTGGACTCATGGAAAAACAGGGACTGAGAGCTGGCAGCCAGGAGGCAGGCTTCCAGAATGTGCCTTTTGCCTGTTTAAATGATTATGTATTTCAGAGTGTTTTTGTGTACATCTTCCCAACCCCCCCCCCACCGCCCCCCAAAAAAGAAAAACAGAGGGAATGGAAGCAAATACTGTTTTGTTGCTGTTGTTTTAAAAAAGGTCTCTTGCTCATCCTTCAAGGTCTCATTCAAATGTCACTGCTTTCCCCCAATTTTATCTCCAAATTACAATGAATCACTGTGTTCCTATACTTCATGGTACATAGCTCTATGAAAGCAGATATGCACAGTACTGGGGGCTGACCTCTCAGGACTGCACCAACCCTATCCTTGGGACTTCTGTGTTAGGGTCCAGTAACTTAACTTTTGCGGGTCTAGCAAGACCCACTTGAAGCTGGCACAAACAACTTTGTTTATGCCCATTGAACAACTGGCTGATGCTACACAAGCAATAAAAAAGTGCAGAGCCTGAAGCTTTCACCCGGAATTTTTTTTACGACCGGCTGCTTCAAAAGGATAACAATCCCTAGGCTATCCAAAATAACTTTCTGCCAGTAGCGGCTTTCAAAGAAAGGAAAAGTGAAAGAAACTAGAGACAGAGAAGCCTGTGGTCTTGGCGGGGGCCGCAGTCTGGTCAGGGGACCCGGACTGGCAGACCCGGACTGGAAGATTGCTCTGTCTGACTCCATTCGACTTTTGACTACAGTTCCGGGAACTCAGACCTCAGAAGAACTGGTGTACCAAGTCGCATTTGTACTTCCATACCCCCAAAGGATCGCGAAGAGCGAAGTGTGTGGTTTGCCGGGAGAATGCCCAGCTTACTAGAGCTTTTCTCTCCCCTAAAACCACACACACACACACACACACACACACAAACAAAACAAACAAACAAAAAAAAACATTCAGGCATATATATTAATTTACACCTCCAAAAAAAAAAAAAAAAAAAGGCACATTCTGCAAGTCTGTCTCCTGGCTACCAGCACTTAGTTCCTCTCAGTCCATGAATCTAGAGTCCTCAGCGGCTCGTCCTCTCCATGCCCTCATCTCTGCCTCGGTCTCTGGCGTCGCTGCCTCTCTGTATGATAAGGTCCCGCATTCTGAGCTCTTCTCTCTTGATGGTCCTACGGTCTTCTGTTTCTGGACCGTAAGATTAACCACTCCCCCGTTTTTTGTTACAAAACTTCTACCTTTACAGTTGTGACAGTCGCAATTAGTCATGATAACAATTATTCACTACTGAATCATACCTAGTCTTATCTCCATCTCTTTTCACCAGACCCATCTAGATATGATGAAAAATATTGAGTGGGGACTGTTTTCTCCACCACTCCCCCCCACACTCTTAAAATAAACTCCCTCTGAAACATTATAAGCTAGTCACTTTCAGTGCCTTTATCGCCCCCTCATTTTAGGTAGCCAATGTCTAGGTTGCCGGTCCCTATCTACCCTGTGTACAGAGGGGATAACCTGTGACGTTACAGGGTGGGAGTAGGGTGGGGGTAGGTAAGGCGAAGTGACAGTTCTGCCCAACTGGGTGCTATTTAAGGCAGAGAAACTTTAGGATCCACTCTAGTCCTAGTGTGGCGCTGTGGGTTAATGCACCGGACTGCAAAGTTGTTTAGAATCACAAGGTCGGCAGTTCAAGCTCACCAGTCATTCCTCGGAAACTATATACAGGGTCGCTATGGTTCAGAACCGATTTGATGGCACTTAACAACTAGTCCTAGTGAGGAGTCCTGGTCTGGCGCTGTGTGAGATAATGCACTGGTCAGTTTCAACTGCAAGGTCGGCAGTTGAAATTCACTAGCTGCTCCTCTGAAACCCTATACAGGGTCGCTACCAGTCAGAAGTGTCTCAACTGTCTCGAAGGCACTTAACAACAACAACTAGTCCTAGTGAATGAGTCCTGAGGGAGACAGGTGAGACTTTCTGCCTACAACCACCGCGACCACCTCCTAATTCGGGTGTGGCTC